GTGAAAAAATTATTAAGGGGATCCAGCTTTGACCAAGATTAGAAGTTTAGCATTCCAGTTCCTCATACAAGATTATTTTCAATAGCTATGAATGTGCATATCTGCATCACTGACTTCTTCCTTTGTCCTTCATAGCCTAAATTTTATATAGATATAGATATAGATATAGATATAGATATAGATATAGATATCAAAGGATATATAGAGATATGGGAAGCACTGGAACATCTCTGACCCATAAAGGTATTTTCTGGACAATGCCATAATGACTATAGAGTTCACTATTTCTCTGTATTACATTTCCTACCTACATACTTTAGAGATAATGTAATAAAGATATTTAAAAAGAAGCAATGCATACCTTGTGTGTCTCTAACTTGTTTAGATGGTATAGGCTTGGTATAGGAGGGTTGACCTGCAATGCCTTTCTCAGATCTGATATCAGCTGTATATGTTCCAGTAAAAAATTAAGCCCATTTAAACTGAACTAAATGGAACCTGACTGTTTGGTCTTTAGAAATGCTGTGACCTTTTGCACTGAGCTGAAGAAAACAATCAACATAACATGCTGTTTTATAGTCCTCATTTTGATTCTATCAAAAAGGCTCTGTGTTACAAGAGGGGTTGCTTGGGGTGCTAACAGCATGTTTATTTCACATTTCTGTAAATCTATCTTCATTTAATACCTCTGTAGCAACTTGATTAGCATGATGAGAATAGTTTGGAAAGGAAAGCTGTTCTTCCAGTGAAGATACTGATGTGGAATTCAAGAGAGAGAGGTTTAGTTTCTAACTCCGCTCCTCACTTTCTGCATGACTTTGCACAGTTATCCAACTTATGTATGTGCCTCATTTCTGTATCACTGTAAAGTGAAGCTGATTCCATCTCCTCCTCATCTTTTCCTAGATTAAGACTGGGACCCTGAACAAGCCCTAGGACACCAGGGTCCCAGGGGGTGCAAGCTCTACTGCAATACAAACAATTTTATTTTGTCTCGTATATTTAGATGACAGATAGAAAACAGTTGGTATTTGAGATAATTCTGGTTTATATAAAAGTTTTCATCAGCACCAAGACACACCTATTACCAAGTTAGCAGGGAGCAACAAGTTACTTATCTTTACCGCCATGAAAAGTACTCTTGTCTTTTTATGCCTCATTTGTTTGTGTCTCAGTTTTCTGTGGCTGAGGAAATATTATCCCCCACTTTTACAGGGAGGAATTTTTGTTTTGTAGTTTTTGCTGTGCAGCATTTTGTCCAAGTGTTCCAAACTGTCTCCTGCTTTTCACCTTCTCTCTGCAAAAAATACTTCTCCATACAGAGCTACATTCAGACTAGGAATGACAGAACTTTCACCTGATACCAAAGCAAAGTGAACTCTTCAAATAAATATCTTCTTCTTTTTAATTACTCCTCCTCTGTACTGTTATTCATTCTCTGTGAATGTTAGCATCCTCAGGAGGAAAGGGAAAAATGTGTGAGACAGGTAAGAGCAGCAGAGGTCCAAGTAGGAAGTGCTACACCTAGTGGGAAAAGGGCAAAATAAAAGTCCAGCTGGGACATTCTTCCTGCTCCCTGTGCTCCCAGGCTCTGGCAGTTCTAGTGCAAATGCATGCATGAGGACTTAGGATGAGAAATAGTAATAGAAAGGAATCAGCCAAAGACTCAAACAACAGAAAATCTGGAAAAGCTGATAAATCAAGGAATGGGGAACAGCTATAGCACCTTCAACAGCCATGACTTTATGTCTTCTGCTCAGTGCTGGCTGTGCACAAATCTCTCTCCTCTCTCCCTTATGGGCTCTTTATACCTGTGCATTTCATGCCCAGTCTGTCTTTCGCTCTTCTCCTTTTCCTTGGTCCAACATGGCCATAAGATTTGTCCACCACAAGAAAAATTATCTCCATCGCTCCTTTTCTAGATAGAATTTACATGCCTTTTGTTCATTTATACGCTCTGCTCTTTCTTCATCCTGTGTCTTTTTCTGTTAGAGTCTGTAGATTATCTTCAGGGATTATCTGCTCCTCTGTATAGAGCAAGATTCTGGAGTTGGCTGGATTTTCCTCACTACCAGATTAAACACAATGAGTAACATTAAATAGAGTAATGAAGGACACGGAAGAGTGTGTAGCTGACTGGGTAGGCTGAGCATGGACATTTGTTTGCAGACCTACAAAAGCAAGAGCTCGTCAGCACAGGAAATGAGGGATGTGCGCTGCAGGAGGAATAATCACGAGCACTGAGCTCTCTGTCCCCACAACACTGTGCTAACTATTCGACTGCAAGCCAATAAATGGCTGCACAGCTTCAGGTCAGTAACAGAGGGTCAGTAGTCAACCCAGAGGACTTCTCTGATGAAGTCCAGCACAAAAAGTTCTCTTTGTAAAGAGCCTGCTTACAGCAAAGGAGGCACTGAATGCATCACCCCTGGAGTTAGTCAGTGCCTCCCGGACCACCCTACCCGGCCAAGAAGGCCAAGACTTTCCTTTCCTGGAGGAGGCTGCAGCTGTGAACAAACGAGAGAGCGTTCCTGCTGATTCAGTGCATGGCAATTAGCTCCTCACTCCAGATAGGGATCCCTCACATGCTAACATAAGTATACCCACTGCAATGATTTTTAAAACATCTGCCTCTTCTCTTGAGAGCTTACTTACAAAGCTGGCTGATATTACTAGATAAACAGAGGGCCTAATTCTCCTCTAACATGCACTGATCCATACGCAAGAGCTACATCTTTGGCTTAAAAGGATATATTTCTGACAATCCAGACATCCACTTGAGCCTCTCTAATCTGAGTCACATTGCTGATGCAAAGACTAACAGGTGGCAGAAAGTGCAATTTCCATATAGTAATAGTACTAGTTTTCATGTTAGTTCTGAAGGATAAAGATCTGACTGTATCTCGGTCACGAGATGACTATGAGACACTGATGTAGTGTAGCATCAATGTACTGCAGCATTAGAGGAGGTATGAACTGAGGTGTCTTCCTCATCTGGGGGAGATAATTATGTATTCGTGGCCTAATGAAATTTCATCTGAAATACTATGCACAGTTCCCAACACTCATGCCCAAAAATGACGAACTCAAAGTGGAACAAATGCTGAGAACACTTAGACGATAAGGGTCCACCTAAAGACAGAAAGCTGAAGAGCACGGCTTGTTCACTTCAGCAAAACAAGGGCTGCGAAGGAAAATGATTACACTCTAGAAACCCAAGAGGGAAATAAATGTTCTTTGAACTGAAGGTTAATACTGAAAGAAGAACAAATACATATAAACCAACTAGAAATAATTTTAGGCTGGAAATTAGAAGGTGTCTTCTGGCAATCAAAGAGATGAGACTTAGCACAGCTAAGGCATAACCACTTCCTAACGGGAGGCACCAGGGATCAGTGTTACTGCTCTAAGCCTGCTCCCCTGGGGTGTCAAATCAAGCAAAGCAGTAATATGCCCAAGCAGCTGGGGTGAAGATCTTTCAGGGTTACTTGGGATTTTGCGTCTGCCTGGTTCCTTCACATGTGTTTTTTCCTCGTCGTGAAAATTGTCAAAACCAGGCAGAACTCTCCATATTTATGAAACCCCAATATTTTAAAATCAAAAATCTTCTCCTCCCATTTTCTCTGGTAAGCTCAGCTTCCCCCAGCAGCACAGCGTTTCACATCTGAGGCCAGGGGAAGGAGGTCAGACGAACGCGTGAGCCTGCAACGAGTATTTCCTCAAAAGCTGAAACTCCAGAGGTTTCGGCAGGGTAGCAGAGAGGGCTGCGGCAAACAAATAAAATACAGTAAAGCAAAATGAAAGAAATGCCTCCCCCGTGCCCCCCGCCCGCCCCTTTGCAGCCTTTCCCCGTGGGGGGCAGAAGG